TAGACAGAGTTTTGCTCGTTGCCCAGGCTAGAGTGCAATAGCGTGATCTCCATTCACTGCAATCTCCACCTGGGGTTCAAGCGATTCTCCCACTGCACCTGGCGCCATGAGCATCTTTAGGCATCAATCTTTTATGATCCCTGGTTATTTGTCTAGAGCACATTTGTCAAATGATTGGATAAAAGGGCACAGGCAGTTGTAAGGCTCTCAGTGCATAATGATAAACTGCCTTCCAAAAAGGCTGTGCCCGTTTGCATTCTCAAAATAGAATGTGCACTCCTCCTTTTAATAGTCTCCTGAAGTCACCAGAATATGAACATGGGGAGGGCAGGGACTTGCTTGAGCATCTCAGATACCATGCCCATCTCAATATGCCACACATCGTAGGGGTTTGTGTGACATGAATGAGTGAGAGCACAGGAAGGCCCAGATGAGTGCAGTGTCCATGGAGCACAGGGGAGGGTCAGGTGTGTGAGTTGCCGTGAAAGCCAGCTCAATAGCACACAGCTGACATAGGGATTCAGTGCAGACACAAGTGGTACCAAGGCCTTGCGAGTCAAAGAGCTCCTGACCCTGGAGGTCGAAGCAGCTGACTGGAGATGAGGAAGCCACACTCCAAGATCACTTAGGGACAGATACCGGCAGGGCTGGTCTGAAGACGGATAGCAACTCCTTTTTATACTCCACTTTGCGAGCACCAGTTTTTATGCAGAGCGCTGGAAGAATTCTCTTCACTGAGTTAGCAAGGTCATCAAACTCTGTGTTCACCTGGATATCCTGAAGAGAAACCCATGACAAGGATGAACTTTGTTACTGAGAACTTGACCATTTTTTATTCACACACGCAAGGTCTCAGAGAAGTTCCTTCGGGCGGCTTCTCTCCTGTGGATGACAATCTCATACTTGCAAACTAGTAAGATCCAGGAGGGAAGGGGACAATGGGGAACATTTAGGGGCCTGCTGTATTTATTTATTTAGAGATGGGATCGTATTCTGTCACCAGGCTGGAGTGCAGTGGCTCAGTCATAGCTCACTTCATCCCTGAGCTCCTGGACTCAAGCCGTCCTCTCGCTTCAGCCTCCAGAAGGGCAGGGTCTACAGGTGCCCACCACCATGCCCAGCTATGCTATATTTTCAGATCTGGGAGCTGGTTACATAGACATCTATGCTGTTTGTGAAAATTCTCCAAGGTCTATGCTTAATCTTTGTGCATTTTTCAGCATCAATGTTGTTCCTCAATTAAAAACTAAAAACCTCCAGGCATGGTAGCTCACACCTGTAATCCCAGCACTTTGGGAGGCCGAGGTGGGCGAATCACAAGGTTGGGAGATCAAGACCATCCTGGCCAACATGATGAAACCCCATCTCTACTAAAAATACAAAAAATTAGCCAGACGTGGTGGTGGGTGGAGGCTGAGGCAGGGGAATCATTTGAACCCGGGAAGTGGAGGTTGCAGCGAGCTGAGAGTGTGTCACTGCACTCGAGCCTTGCAACAGAGCAAGATTCCATCTCAAAACAAACAAACAAACAAACAAACAAAAACTAAAATCCAAGGGGTAGTGAAGAACAGAACTGGCACTGATTGAGTCTTTCTCTGAGCAAGCCCTTTCCCTTAGGTCTGTCATCTCAGCTTATGTTCTTGATGGCCCTGGGGGGTAGGCGTTAGCCCCATTTCACAAAAACACAAGTCTGAGCCTGGGGAAAGATTTTCCTTGAACTATAAGTCTTCAAAACTATTTCCCAGAAAGCTTAGGATAAAACCTGGGCTAGTCAAATTATACTAGTAATAACAGACAACAGTTAAGGAATAGAAAATAGAATATTCAGTTCAGGCTAATTATGTTCTTTGCTGTTTTGGTGTTTTTTTGTTTTTTTGTTTTTTTGAGACAGAGCCTTGCTCTGTTGCCCAGGCTGAGTGCAGTGGCATGGTCTCAGCTCACTGCAACTTCTGCCTTCCGGTTCACGTGATTCTCCTGCCTCAGTCTCCTGAATAGCCAGGATTACAGGCGCAAACCATCACATCTGGCTAACTCTTGCATTTTTTGTACAGACAGGGTTTCACCATGATCTCGAACTCCTGACCTCAGGTGATCTGCCTGCCTCAGCCTCCCAAAGTTCTAGGATTACAAGAATGAGCCACCATGCCCAGCCCAGGCTAGTTATTGTTTATGGTTCTTTGACTCAAAATCTTGTCCAGGATCCCACATTGATATACACAGGATTTGATCCCAAGCCTGAACTGATTCCAAAGCCCATGGCATTTCCATTAGATTAGGGGCTTCTGATAATGACTATACAGTGTGTCAAGTAAGTGTATATTCTAGAAGGATAACGTCATATGTCTTTCTATTTCTTTTAGAATGACAGATCCGGGGCCGGGCACGGTGGCTCAAGCCTGTAATCCCAGCACTTTGGGAGGCCGAGGCGGGTGGATCACGAGGTCAAGAGATCGAGACCATCCTGGTTAACATGGTGAAACCCCGTCTCTACTAAAAATACAAAAAATTAGCTGGGCATGGTGGCGCGTGCCTGTAATCCCAGCTACTCAGGAGGCTGAGGCAGGAGAATTGCCTGAACCCAGGAGGCGGAGGTTGCGGTGAGCCGAGATCGCGCCATTGCACTCCAGCCCGGGTAACAAGAGCGAAACTCCGTCTCAAAAAAAAAAAAAAAGAATGACAGATCCGGTGCTGACAGGAATTCGCAAGCAGCAGGCACATGGTTAAGGCAAGAACAGGCAGTTAGAAGGAAATAGTAAGGGTGTTTGATGCTGGTTGTCCCAAACCTGAAGAATTGGAACTGCACACACACAGTTCTTTCCTAATTTCTGGAAAGGCTTTGACTCAAGTCTGGGTTGAGAAAAATCAGGGTTAGAATCAGTACTGATTTATAACTCAACTTTTTTTTTTTTTTTTGAGGCAGAGTCTCACTCTGTTACCCAGGCTGGAGTGCAGTGGTGAGACCTTGGCTTACTGCAACCTCTGCCTCCCGGGTTCAAGCAATTCTTCTACCTCAGCCTCCCATGGAGCTGGGACTACAAGCGAGTAGTCCCACCTGTAGTCCCACACCTGGCTAATTTTTTTTTTTTTTTTGTATTTTTGGTAGAGATGGGGTTTTGCCGTGTTAGCCAGAATGGTCTTGATCTCCTGACCTCATGATCCACCCAACTTGGCCTCCCAAAGTGCTGGGATTACAGGTGTGAGCCACCACACTTGGCCTGTAACTCAACTTTTTTTGTTTCCTTTCTTTTTTTGTGTGTTTTAGAGACAGAGTCTGGCTCTGCTGCCCAGGCTGGAATGCAGTGGCACAATCATAGCTCATGGAAGCCACAAACTCCTGGGATCAGGTGATCCTCCTGCTTCAGTCTTCTGAGTACCTGAAACTATAGGTATATGCCATATGCTGGACTAATTTTTTAAAAATCTTTTTGTAGAGATTGGGATTTTGCTGTGCTGCCCAGGATGGCCTTTAACTCTTGGCTTCAAGAGATCCTTCTACCTCAGCCTCCAAATGTGCTGAGATTATAGGTGTGAGTCACCTTACCTGGCACATTTTCTACATTAAAAAATCCAATTCGCCAGGTGCAATGGCTCACACCTGTAATCCCAGCACTTTAGGAGGCCGATGCAGGTGCATCACCCGAGGTCAGAAGTTTGAGACCAGCCTGGCCAATCTGGTGAAACCCCATCTCTACTAGAAAATACAAAAAAATTTAGCCAGGTGTGGTGGTGCACACCTGTAATCCCAGCTGCTTGGGAGGCTGAGGTAGGAGAATCATCTGAACCTGGAAGCCAGAAGTTGCAGTGAGCTGAGATAG